TTCCCAGGGTTTCAGACTAGAGTCGAAATGTAGCTGATATAGGCAGAATTGATACAAATGGGTAACTGCGCCCAAAATATGACGCATGGAGGCAGATTGAGCCCTCTGCGGTCGCAATAAATGAAGTTGGCGAATAAAATAAGGAGATTTCACTCAATTTGGTAGTAAGGGCTAGGCCTTTGCCTGGTCCCTGGAGCAGGGGAAATAGGGACCAGCTTTCCTGTTGCCAGCTACCCAGCTCCAAGAAGATGTGCTCCACGCCACGGGCAGAAATACCACTGTGCCTGGTAATTTCTGTCCCTCCAGTCAACTGGGAACCCAAAAGTTATGAGTTAAACTGGGACAATCAAGATTGCTTCAAAGGATTGGAAGCCCAGTTTCTTTAGATGGTAGAGCTGGGCATTCATTCATGAGTTTTAAAATCCCAGCCTTCATCCCTCATGATGTCATTGCAAGCAAGATGCCCTTGCTCAGCCCATAGTCGATGTGCTCAGCTTTCTGCTCAGCCGCGTTTCTGGTGCTTGGGAAAGTGTCTGTGTGCCCAGGAACGTCCTCCGGCCTTTCGCCCGCTGGGATGTGGTGTGGTGACTCTCCTTTCTGTCCCAGGGTCTCCTTTTGCCCGTGCCAGTTTGAAGAGTGGGAAGAACGAGAGCTCATCCTACTTCAGGAGGAAAGAGAAAATGTTCCGGTTCTTCATTCGGCGCATGGTGAAAGCTCAGAGCTTCTACTGGATCGTCCTCTGTGTGGTCGCCCTCAACACGCTCTGCGTCGCGATGGTGCACTACGACCAGCCGGAGAAGCTCACCACTGCGCTGTGTGAGTACTGGGGACTCCACCTTTCCTCTAATGAGGTCTTGCATTTTTGATCACTCTGAGCACTGCTGTCATATCCCCATGAGGTCTGGTTTTCGGCTTCCTATGCCTCCCTCAGAGGAGGGTCAGAAATGCATTAATGAGTGGTTCTAGTAACTCAAGAGTAATTGAGTCATACAATTCAGAAAAAATCCACCAGGGCATGATACTGGTTTGAGATGGGAATGTTATCCTAAACGTTGCCTGAATCTTCAGATGCCACCACATTTAGATCTTGTAACACGGCAGGAGGATTTGTTCTGTAGCAGGCTTTGTCAAAGGAGGGGGAATGGCTCCATACTTGGGTAAAGGCAGGGTTCTCTGTCTAATCAGCGTCTGCCCAGAGAACTGCAGAATTCATGCCACTGAAGCTGATCTGCATCCATGGGTGATTTCTGTTGTGGACATACTTAAAGCTCTGCCAGCGCTGATGTCCCTGGGATAGCAGCACATGTAATGGCCAGTGCTACCTGGGAGATAAAAATGTCTATCTGTGCTTATAGAATCATATACTAATTCACTACAGCTGTAGCAATTATTGTCATATTCTTTAAAAGGTTACAGCTTTACAGAAGGTCTTTTTTGATAATCGTGCCTTCCTTACTAATGATGTGATTAGACGGGATAGATGTCGTGATGCCCTTCTGTGAAAACATGTGCAATAGTGTTAGAAATAATACCATACAGAAGATTACACTATATTTGTGCGAAAGCTTTTGTTTTAGCTTGGTTCCTGTGGTCACCTATCTGTTTAGGCTTCAGATAGTCTATAATTGCTTTTGAAGTAAGATTTTTTTTTTTTTTAAATTGCATATTGTTTTGTCCTATGATGAATAATAAATGGAGACAGCTTTCTGCAATCAAAGCCTTTACACATCACAGTGTTACACTTGAGGTTGCAGACTTGCTCATGAAGCCTGTTTTAAAAAAATGTCGAAGGTGAGGAACAGAGCTTGCTTGTTTATTTTAATGAAGGTTGTAGGCTATGACTCCTACAGCTCGAAAACTTGTAGAAATTGGTAAGGTAAGAATATGGTGACACTGAAAATGAGACACTGCAAGCTTTTCCTTCTGAAGGGAAGGAATGGAGAGTTTGTTTCTGGAAGACAGAGCCATTGCATTGGCCACTTCTGACTCTAAAATGGCCAGGAACAAATCTTTTGTTCAGCACTTGATATTCAGATGTGGCTAGTTCAGAATTTGTTAAGTAAAACTTCCGAAGCAGGTGAACAGAAGACTAGGAAAAAACCCCAAATTATTTCAAACAGTCTAACTTATTAATTTTGGCTTAGATCATTAAAGATACTTATCTACCTAATTTTCCTTGATTTCTATATAAATTAGATACTTAAATATTTCTAGCCCCAGATCCTCAGGTCTTCCCTTATTATAAAGAATCAAACTTTTAAAGTTTTTTTTTTTTAATAGACCTAAAAGGTCAAGGATATTAGCTGCTCTGACTTCAAAAACTCCCTATTAAAGTTTGCTGAAATATTTAATGCCACCAGGTAACTGGAGCAGTTATGAGAGATGCATAAGAAGGACAGAAACTTCTTTCAAATCTGGGTTTGTTTCTTTTTTTTGTTTGTTTTTGTAAGATTTAGACTGAAAAGAGAGACAGACCACACAGAGAAGTCAGTCTTGCTTATTCATTTCCTAAATTTAACAGAGAAAATAATAAGCTAGATGGGCAGAGTAATTATAAGTTTGAGGCTTAGGATTTCCTCTTGAATTAAGACTAAATGTCTAGAAAAAAGGTACTAGTCCACGTAGTTTGTGTGGACTAACTGGCTGTTTTGTTACTGCAATCACGGTGAGACTGGACTTGGCCCCTCTCTCTCTCCTGCATGCACTAAACCCCAGCCAGCCTGATTAACCCTGCAGCAAATGCATTTGTGAACGAGGCCAGCGGTGGTTCAGCCCGCGAGGAGTGCTCATTGAAAGCCCTGTTCTGCCCAAGATTTTTGCGCAAATCCGTTAGATATAGGCAGAACAAGATATCCCAAAACCAGGGGATTTTAAACAGCTCCTGGAAATACTTGGCAAAATCCTTTAACTGGAAGAGTGACAGAGTTTAAAAATGGCTTTAAAGTTAATCCATGATGAGTGAACTTAGCCACAGAGAAGCAGGACTTGGCTAGTCTGATGTGGTGCAAGAGAGAAATGGCCAATTCTGGTTATGTTGTTTCATGGAACGTGCTTAGAAATGAACTGATGAGGAGTTTTGTGTGAACTATAGCAGCAGGAGAGGAGAGTGGTAAAGTCTGGGAGGATCCGCGAAACCCTGAAACCCTACCCAGGAACCTCTAATTCATTATACCTGTCCCTCCGGGAAAAAGTTTAATTACATTACAAATTAATTTTACTTAAAGAATGGTTGGTAAAAGCCTATGGGTCTGCATTGATTTATTTTTCCCTTGGTCCTTTCTTTTAACTTTTCTGCTGTTGAATTGTTCTGATTAGCTTTCTCCACTTGATATTCCATATTCCTGCAACTGCTTTTAAAAAGGAACTGTAGGAGCTTTAGAAAAGGGCTTGGGATTTCTTTAGTCTTATTGAAAGAGCTGATGAGAAATTCTTTGAATTCTTGGGGTATGGTGAAGAACAGGACATACTTTATGCTCCTGTAATTATCCCCAAATTAGATCAGAGATTTTCCTTCTCTGCATGGAAAGGACTCCGGTGCCACATTGCCACAGGAGTTTTCTCATACTGCACATGGACACATGGCATGTTGTGCTCACCAAAGCATGGACCTTCGATTAAATAAGTTGCAGTTTCTTATAAAAGTATGTATTTCATGCAGCCATCCATGATTGTCGCCTGTTTGTGGTAATTTCCACCATTGCTGGTATTCTCAGAAAAAAAGAGACCTCTGTCAGAAGACAACTCTGTAACCTAGCCTAAAAAAGCATCACTGAGATCTAGTAGCAGCAAAGATGCGTCTTCAACTGTGAGGGCCACAAACCAACAAAATCCATAATGTGGGCACACAGTGGAGGTGCAGCATTAGGGGGTTTTCAGTCAGGACGGTGCCTTTTAAAAAGATATGCTGTGGCTTGAGCAGAAGTTGCAAGGCCATGTGGAAACAGGCGAGTGCATTTCCAGGCCCTGTGCGGTGGCAGGCGGCCGGCAGAGGTGGTGGTGGTGGTCTCCTCTTCCTCTAGATAAAGCTGTGGAAGAAGGCTGGAACCAGAGCTCTCTGGCCTCCCTGGGCAGACTTTAGGGACCATGGTGAGAAGGTTTTAGGATTGGATCAGTGAAGTTTGACTTGGGAGCCCTCTCATCAGGCTTCCCTTCCCCTCTGGCTGCCCTTCACTAAGCAGCTCTCTCCATGTTTCTCCAGCTAGCACTACAGCGATCCTTAACTTGCTCCTAAATTTATATCTGTCTAAAAAAAAGATCCAGAATGTCTCCTTTCTGATAAACACAATATTCGAAAACAGTATTTTAGCCATTATGGCCTGAGAACGTCTTCCCTGTGTGCTGCGTGATGCTGAACCATGTGTTTGGTGCAATTAGGCCTTTTTTGATGATGTTGTGTTTGCCTTTGAAGTAGATAGCCAGCTCCCTCCGGATATAAATATGCAGCATTTGCAATTGCAAAGAAAAGGCTTTCTGAAGCGAGCATATTTATTTATGTCTGCTGAACATTTCATGCCTGCTTTGTCAAAGAGGAGGAAGTTGTACTTCGCCGAGGTTCTCCTCCTGGTTGGTGTAATGTTCGAGGAGGATAAGTAGAGGAAACCAAAGCGACAGGCTCGGCACCTGCTCCTGATGACATCGGACTTGGAGACGGGGCAGAAATGGAATTAATCCATGGGTGATTGACAAAAAAGAGCCGCTAACTATCTAATTCAAACGTATGGGGCAAAAAAATGCTAGCACGGCCTTTGCCAATAGCACAAATTTGAAATTAAATAAGAGTATTTGTATCAAACCTTTTTTCCTTAAATCATATTACAAAATGCTTCTGCTTAAGGCAGATTAAATTACATGTAGGGTCTGAATACCAGGAGGTCCAAACAATGAAATTGCATTTTCAATTATATGGGCATGGCCATGTCAGAAGAAATCGTGTTTCTGATCCATCCTCTGGAAAAGCAGATTCATTTTGAGTCAATTCCTTCTGCCCAAGGAGTTCACTATGTTCATATTTTCCTTGCCTCCATCCCTTGTCCTCACAGTGCTCTGTTTTGTAGAACCTGGTGTCTGCTGAAATACAGCTATCGCTGCCTGTTCTGAACCCTGCTCTTGATGGAAGTCATCAGCTGCAAAAGAACAAGTTAGGTGGTTCTTTCAAGAGCAGCAGAAAGAAGCTGTTTCTTGGATGTTCTAGTTTTGTAACGTTTCCTGTTGTTTGTTTGTTTGTTTAATCAAATACTTCTTTCTTCTTCTGTTTTACTTAGAGAGGGTGTTTGCTAGCCTTTTTTCTCCTATGATATTCTGGGTTTGCACGTGTGTTTGCAGGATGTGTCAGTCCAATGATGGAACATTGCACTGGCTGATACCGCGTTTTTGTTCACGCTTCTGCTGGGTGGGTGACTGAACATTAATCCTTGTGTCTTTCCTCCTTTTTCTTCTTTTGAAATGATGGTAACGGTCTTGGCAAAGTGTACTGAGATCTGTTGGTGAAAATTACAGTAAAAAACCCCTTACCTGTTGTTATTCTGTGAAAGAATATGGGGCGTACCTGAAATGTAATTCTTAAAGGTGAGTCTGGTGGATAAATAAAAGGATAAGAATCTTCCTGCCAGAGTGAGATATGAAGCAGGTGGAGGTTGTGCAATGCTTTCTGTAGGTCTGATCTACACCCCCTCCCTACGATTTTAAGTTTTGTCTGCTAAATAAGCAAGGCCACCAGTTTCAAAGCATTGGTTTTATATCAATCCTTGTGGTAGGAAGACTTTACATTGAAGTCATTCCAATAAGCACCGACGGGCTTGCTGAGCTCTGCAGGGCGTGAAACCGAAGATGGGAGTGAGAACGTCCCTGCCAGGGAGAGACTCTCATCAGCACAAACGCTGGTGCAAGCTTTCCCTCTGGGCTAATGACTGAAATAGGTGACAGCAGCAGCACAGATTCTTCCATGCATCTGCTTTTTTGGGGGAGTTTTGCCTCCTGTTTCTTACCATTTCCAAAGTATGTAGGGTGCAGAATGGAAGTTCAGGATCTGGCCTGGAAGCTAGTTTAAGCTTCTGATTTACAGGGCCAGCTATTAATAATTAAGGATTTTAAGATTCTTACTACTTCACAATTGCGATCTTTTTCATTATGTGCAAAGAAGTTCAATACCACTGAACATGTTTTTTAAAAATTCTGTATTTTTATATTATTGGACTTGTCAGCCATCTCACTTTATGCCTGACGTTGGTTTACCTGGTCCCTTTCTCACACCCTCTGCACTCGTATAGTCAGATAGATTGCAAGTGTAACTGTGGATAACTCCCTACTCTGGGATCCCTTGCGTTGGAAACAACTGTTCCCTCACTGAGCTGTCGCATCTGGTGTTGGAAAGGAGAAAAGTAGCATGGTGCATGTGTGAGCATGCTTCTCCTTGCAAGTTCCAAGCTCAAAAGGAGATGGAGGTGTGCTGCTCCTTCATGTGACCATGCCTTCTACTGAGCACTGAGATCCGGTGGATGGAGCCTACCTCTTGGTAGGAAAAAGGCTGAGAAGTCTGCAGACCTCGTACTTTGTCATCTTATTCCTCAAATGTGAACACTTTGCCCTTGAGAGTCTCCTTTAATGATACTGCTCCGATTTTCGAGGATAGTAGGTTACATGGTATAATTGATACCCTCCTGGTATTTCCTCCCCTATTGCAAATGTTGGTAGAAGTGTCCTTGTAGGCTCCTCACTGAAGTGTTAATAAAACCTTTCTCATCTAGTTAATGCTTCCTGGGTTTCAGTTAATATTATGCCCATGATATTTCATATCTGTCTTTCATTTTAAATTTAAAACCCCTTTTTATTTTTTGATAATTGAAGCTGTATTTTTCAAGCAATTTCAAAAGCCAAGCAGCAATGCGAGATGGACCTGGGCCAACCGCGCTCACTCAGTATGAATGTGCAAGGCCGTGAATGGGGTGAAAGCCGTGCAGTTTGAAAGGACCCTCGTTCCCTCCTCTCCCTTTCCCCACGCTCGTTAGCTGAAGCCACACATTGCAGGTGTACAAAGCACCTGGGATTCAAGATTATCTAGCTGAAATTTTCTTTGTTGCAACTTGTATCCGTTGCCCCTTGCTGGTCCATGTGCACCTTTGAGAAAAGCTTGGCACCATCTTGTCTTTATCATTCCTGGAATTGTAAAACTGAAATTACAGAAGTCGACTTTCCTGTAGCGTCTGTGCTGCTACAGCATCCGACAACCTTCTGTAGTGCGCTAAGCAATGTGATTAATCTCCACCCTTTGAAGTTTGATTCTTTTCCTCATCTTTTCTCTAGAGAAAGAGGTTTGTCTTATGCTATTTGGTTTGTTTTGGTAGCATAGAGGGTTTTTTCCCTTTTCTTGTTTGTTTAACATTCCATTTTTCTGTTGCTCATTGGCCTCCAGATCTAAACTTGCATGACTTAAAATGCCAAAGGCAGTGTTTTCTGTAGCTTCAAGTCCTAAAAACTTGATCTGGAAATTGGAAGTCTTCAGCTATGTTCTTTCTGCCCTTTGTTTCATCATAGGTGATAAATTTTCCCATCAAAAGCTTCACAGCCTATTTGCCTGTGATATGTGAAGCAGAAGGAAACAGAACTTGCTCTTCCATAATTATATGGTTATACAGGCATAACAAAAATACATGTGGCTATGTGCTAACAGTAGACACAACACCTCTGAGTATGAGCTCTCAGAGGCAGCAGTTCTGTTGGGTATGAAGGTATTTTTATCATGAGAGGATGTTACAAAAGCTTACATCCCGCTCCCAAAAGTGCTCGTCTCGTGTAGGTACGAAAGTCCCAAATATACATTTGCAAAACATTATCTGTGCAATTAAATTAGACCTTTAGAAATATTAGATCCAGAGCTTTCTTTTGAAATTCCTTTACAAAGACGATGGGAATGTTATTTAACACTCATACCAACCTTCCCACAGTACAGATGAAACATTGCCTTCACAGTTCTTGAAGGCTGAATACAGCTCATATGCCTATAGAAATAATTATGTGAAACTGTCCTCGGGGTCTTGTTTGCCATTGCAAAGGGATTTTCTTCTGGCAGGAGGCAGTCTGTGTTGTGAAAAATTACCATTGTTCCCCACATGAAGAGATCTGCCTAGCAAGGTCTTGTGGACTAATTTAATCTCTTTTCCTGTTTCCAGATTTCGCAGAGTTTGTTTTCCTGGGTCTGTTCCTTACTGAGATGTCTTTGAAGATGTATGGACTGGGGCCAAGAAATTACTTCCACTCTTCATTCAACTGCTTTGACTTTGGGGTGAGTAGGCTTCAGCTGCGTGGATGAAGTGTGTGGCTGTCCCGTTACTGAACGGGGTTGGGCGTTTAAGGGTGTGTATGGGAATCCATGGGAAATGGTGCTGTAAGTGTGTCTTCTGTAGGGAGTAGAATCATAGAATCATTGAGGTTGGAAAAGACCTCTAAGATCATCGAGTCCAACCGTCAACCCAACACCACCATGCCCACTAAACCATGTCCCTAAGCGCCTCATCTACACATCTTTTAAATACTTCCAGGGATGGTGACTCCACCACTTCCCTGGGCAGCCTGTCCCAAGACAATGAGTAGTCATTGTCTAAATTAGCTGCAGTGAAACACATTAAGCTTCCCCTAGTTATCATCCTTCTTGAAGAAACGTGACAGCTGGGGATTTCATTTCCTCGGTGAGCTACAGGGTGTTCGCAGCATCAGCACCAGTAAATGCTCTGATTACTGAGAGATTCTCTCTCCCATTTAAATGAGGTGATTGAAAGACAAAAAAGCCACTCGTCTTACTGCTTCTCTCCCCTATCATCCCTTTAATGGCCTTTACCTCAAGATACGTAGGCAGCACTTTTCAGACATGAGTGGCCAGAAAGGCAAGAACTCACATCCTTTTATTGCAGAAGTACAGACTCTCCCCTTCGTGCTGTAACTATAGCTTTAAAGTAAGAATAGTGGGGCCAGTTTTGACTCCATCTAACAGAGAATGTTGCATGCAGATGTTAATTTATTCATTAAAAGCTACTAGGCTGTAATCTGTCCTCACAGAGGTTAACTCAGCTTCTCTTTAGTGTGGGCTGAGCACTGTATCCCAGAGCGGGAATCGGTCTGTAAGGTTTCTTTACAAAGCAGATACGAAGCTTATGATGCAGCCACGGGCAAGGAGAAAACATTGAGTTCATTATACCTGTCATCCAGCCCTTCTCTCCAAGGTTTAGTCTGTTGTTTCTAGTCTTTATCTGCCAAAATGCTGGGGGTGATTCTTCTCCCCCATGGGGCTAAAATCCCTGCTTCACCACTGCTCCCACAAGGTAGGAGGAGGTATTTTTACCTTCAGTAAGTGACCACTTCTAAATCCAAGAGTACAGCTACTCTTTTTGGTAGTGTCAAAAGGAAAGCTCAGAGCTAAACAGATTTTGAGATTAAACCAGCCAGCCTAAGAATCACCTGTGTCCAACAGACTGAGGTGTTCCATCAGGCTGCACCAGGTATGGGGCTCTCCTCTGTGGGGATGTCCATCGCAGCCGTTGGTGGCTCAGAGCATTCAAATGCATTGTGCTGCTCTTTCTGGCTGCGTAGCCCAAAGGATAATGCACAGACTCTAACTGTCACGAGAGGAAACCAGAACACAAATAACACGAATAATGCAAGATAACTGGATGTCTGCACATTCAGAGTTGGTGCCTAATCCAAGGGGCAGAGAGGCTCCCCTCAACTGAAGGCAGGCAACTCACGGAAAAGTTTAACTGTACCGGCAAGATGTCCTGGAAAGGCTGGAATGAACAATGTGCCCACAGAATGCAAGGGGGCTGACACCCAGCTTTCATTAAATTCAGCGCATGCCTAAAGACCCCAACTTCTGTAAGCTGAGTCAAAGACATTTGGCAGCCAAGCAATATTGCTGGTTAGACTTTTAAGGGTATCATTGCCTTGTTTGCATTGTCTAGTGACAGACACTAGATCCATGTCCGTCACCAATGGATTAAGTAGGCTCTGAACTCAGCCAGCTTGCCCCACGCTGGGTGCCAGTTTCCCTGGATTCTTGTATCCAGGATGCTCCTTCCACAACAAGAAGAGCGTGTACCTGATAGTCATGGACAGGTGATTCAGGAGCTTGCATTAAGCAAGAGATAAACCTACCGGGTCTCTCTGCTTTGTGTCATGCTATGGTGAGTGCAGCACTGGCAGTAAGCTTTGCGGAGTGTTTCCCAGGAGGTAAAGCTGTTGATCTGTTTCTAATTTTTCCTCCTTTAGAGAATCCACTGGGATCCTACTTCTAGCTATGTTTCTTTCTCCTCACCCACCTTCCAGCCCCCAGAATTAATTCAGCTAATTCACCCCCGCTGGAATATCAGACAGATCTGAAGTCAGTTTAGTTTGACAAACCATCAAGATGAAACCGTTCAAATGCAAAAACTGAAACAACAAATCAGAGCAACATCAGTCTTGGGAGAAACAGTCCAGTGGGGTCTCATGTGAAACAACTCCCAGGAGGCCATGTTGAGATGCCAGGAAAATTAATTACCAGTGTAACATGTGGAGGTTCTAAGGAAAGGTTTTTGCTGGTTCATGAGGGATTCCCAAGAGTGATAAACTGTGGGAGAGAAATTTTAGTTCCTTCTTTTTGTGATGGGATGGAGGAGCAACTCTTGTATATCTCCCTTTCCCACTACATTTTCTTGAAGCTCAGGGTAAAGCATTTCTTGCAGAGCAGCTGCCAGCAATGCTGTGTTTTTCAAAAGTCGTCGAGGTTTCTGTTTGTGAAAGGGGTTTCTGAGCTGCTGAGTCTTCCAGCACTGCTCAGGTACTGAGGCACAGCTCTGCTGGCCCTGACTTCCCATTAACACTCCCTTTCACAGCACAAACAAGCTGCTCACTGGGGTCCAGTGGTAATGTGTTTATGGTGTGCTTCATGCAACTGGGGACCACGGTCCGTGGGAGCTCTGAAATGCTAGGTTAATGCAAGTAATAACAGTAATTGGCGGTGAAATGCCTGTCTTCTCTTATTAACTGTGCGGTAACCTGTGTTGATATAATTGCCCTTTCCAGTTGTGCTTAACCCGTTACTATTTTGTCCTTTTTGTAATAAAGGATTGAAGAGAAGATTTCTTTACCACTTGAAGTTAATTCTCTGCCAGCCTTAAAACAAAAAAAACAGATAAAACAAAACTTAAAAAACCACCTCAACTGGGGACAATTTTTTCCAATAACTTAAGCTGAGGGCCTGGCAGATGATTGGATGTGCGTGCTAGAGGCTTTGCAGGATCTCTTAATAGCTATTATCTTAATCGGTCTCCTAAAGACTCTCAGTTGCCAGAAGTTGCTGGTAGATCTTGCCCAGAGCTAATGCTTCGCTGTTCTGCAGTGCTGTGGGTGAAGCCTTTCGGTGCTCCTGATGGGAAGGGGAGGAGGAGGCAGAGTCCCCCTGCATCTCTGCAGGCTGGGCCGAACTGGCTGCATGGGGTGGGAAAATGAAGCGTTGGCATTTGTAGTTGAGCCAGTGTAGAGGAAAAAAAAAATTACGGTGTCCTTCAAAAAAGGTTACTTTAAGGTAGTTTGCTTGCTAGAGAAGAAAGCAACAAGTTCCTATCTGTGATTCCCTATGCTTCTGTCCTGCTTCTAGGTATTGCCCTTTTTTAGACTGGACTGCAGAAAGCTGGAACAAGGTTTTTTAGTGCTATTGGCTAATTCATGATTTTGCTGAAGCCTTCATAAGAAAACCAAGACAGCCCAAGCTCTGATTCTTGTTCTCTCCTCAGCCTCTCTAGCAGCACCACAAAGAGCTAAGCAGAAGTTTTACTTTATGTAAAATGGACTCTTCTTGCAGGTCATCGTGGGAAGTATATTTGAAGTTATTTGGGCTGCAGTGAAACCGGGTACCTCATTTGGCATCAGCGTATTGAGAGCTCTTCGACTGCTGAGGATCTTCAAAGTAACAAAGTAAGTCCAGCTCCCTTTCTGCTCACATGAGACTTTTAGTACCAGATGAAATCTGTATCACTAGCCCCAGAGCAAGTCATAGTGCTTTCCACACTTGTAAAAAAAGCAAAGCAAACCAAAACAAACAAAAAAACCAACCCCAAAAACAACCCCCAAAAACCCCTGTACTAGAGCTGGCACAAAGGTCTTGTCTGTCCTAACATCTTATGTCTGCACCGGCTCTAGTGGGTGGGGAAACAGAAGAAAATTGCAGATGCAGAATTGCCTTTCCCTTGGTAGGACAATCTGGGTTTCTGGCAGTCGAAGGTTTAGGGCGTTCCTGAGCCAGAATTTGCATCCACAAGGACTTTTAATAGCCCTTTCCCCAGCCTCATGTGCAGGTTTGTCTACCCTTGGGCAGAGGGCTCCACGGTGTAGTGATGGGCTGCATGAGAGCATCCTTCTTTTCTTTGTTTTTAAGCTTGTTTAAAACAAAAATCTCATGAGGTGATCCCTTATTTCTCACGGTAAGAGAAAAAGGTTTCTTATTTATTTTCTAAGCCCCATCAACTGCCCACTGTCCTTATCTGCTGCTGATCTGGGGATAGTTCCTTAAGTATTTAGGAACTGGTAAACTTAGCTACCCTGGTTGTTGCTGGATACTAAATCCTCGTGCCTGAACCATTGTGTTGACACAAATATGAAGTGTGTTGCTGCTGCCTGTGCTGTGTCTGGTCTGGGAATGTCTGAGGTTTTCAGTCTTGAGCCTGTGGAGTTGAACTTTCACTAGAGTTGGGTTGCCACAGCTTTTCAGTTGTTTTCATGCTCATGCATTGCGTTAATGTGTGCTGGCGTTAGCAAACAGCTAGCTGTGCAATTTATAAACCCACCTAGAGCAATTTCTGCAGGATTTCAAAATTGTAGTGTGGAAATTGATGACATATTTGGGTGCTCCTGCTGTTGTTTTCCACCTCTTTCTTTTTTTTTTTTTTTTTATTTGACACCATCACCTCCTCAGATCTCTCCCCTCTTTCCATCACTCTTTTACTTGTTCTTGGCTTGAAGTAACAAAAGCAGGAATAGCACCTCCCTCCAAGAAAACCCAACCACCCTAAACAGATAAAGCATAGGTTGTCACACTTGAACAAAACAGTCATTTGAAATAACCAGGTACTTTTGCAGCTATTCAAACACATGGGTTTTGTTAGCTTTGTAGGGTTTGCTAATTCATATCTGCTAACCATTATGCAGATCCAAGATTCGTGTGTAATACTGTGTCGTTTGCTGTACTGTGGGACAAAGAGGTTGGAAACATTAAGTTCGGTAAATGTCCAGCAAAAAGGTGGTCACCTGCCCCAAAAATATCTCTTAGTCTACCTTTGCACTAATCTTATTTATGGAAAACTCCAGGTTTTGTAGCAAATTCATAGCAATTAATTTTCAGCAGTTAATTTTATCCAGAGCTACTGAGATTTAGTGTATCTGATTGCGTGTTGTACTTTTTAAAAATTCTGGACGTTTTTGCAAGTTAAAATCATCTTTTTGCGAGTTTTGACTCTTCAGGATTTTAGCCAACGTAAGGAAGGGATGAAGCCTGAGATTTAACTTAAAGCAAATCATGGAGCAAGCCGAGTGCTCTCCTCCTTCTCAGGACAGCGCGTGAAATTCTCACCCACTGATGCTGAAGTTCCCTTGACCTAATTATCTGGATTTTTCACCTGATATGACATTGTGTTACCAGAAGCCAGGTCTCCCCCAGCTCACACGGGGGGATCTCAGCTGTGCTGGGCCACGTTATCCCAGTGCCTGAGCTGCACAGCTCAGTCCTAGCGTAATCATGGAGAGCAACCAAAACGATGGCACCAGGCACAGATTGCTGCCCACCTGCTCTCATTACAGTCTTTACTGTGAAAACATCCTGGCCCTCAGTAGTTTTCTTTTTTTCCCTTTTCCCATCTCTTTCACAGCAATTTTTCTCTGAAGATTCCTGCCCTGGTTTTTTCTTTTGCCCCTGTCTTTAATAGAAGCCATTTGCAGTCCACCTGCTTTGAACAATTGATGGTATTAGACCTTTTGATTCGTATGTCCCAAATCAGTGTGACTGCAGACGGCAGAGCGATGCGATAGTTAAAAAGTTAAATTACAGCCGGCCCGACAAGCAGATGCACTGCGAGGGGACGCAGCCTGAGAGGGGCTAAAATTCAGCAAGGAGGACAAGGAGAAAACAGCTTCACATATTTTCCTCTTCATCATGACAGAGCTGAATGGGGACTGGCATCTGTAGAAATGCAACTCTTCATTATATCCTGGTGCTCTGTAGTCAGGCAGGGTTTGGTGCTGAGCTATTCCAGGACAAGGCAGAGCCTCCACATGTATTTTGTGTCCGGTTGTGTTAACTGCAAGGTGCGAACCTCTTGCTGGTGGCAGATTTTGCCTGAAGCCATTGTGTCAAGCAGGGGAGAGCTGTGTGATCAGCAAACCCTTCCTCCTTCTCCAAGGAGAGCAGTTTAGCCCCTTTTTGCCTCGGGGCTAACCCTGAGTAGGTTTGGTTGCAACTTTTCCAATTGCAGATTTTCTCCCGAGAGACCGAAGTTTCCCCTGAAACCTCTGTCACTATATTATGGACATAACTTTCCTTGGAATGGGTGCAATGGGAGTGCAAGATCCTGCTTCTCCTGGGATGGACATGCCTGTATCATCCTCAGCACAGAGAAACGTGTGGGTGGTTCAGTCCTCCCAGCTACACCTGGGGGAAGGAAAAGGAGGAAAACAAAGAGAAAAGATGGTGTTTCTGCTCTTCTGACTCAAGCTCTGAGTTTCTCTCCCTATCAGGAGATCAGACAAATCCATGGGCTTCCTTTGCTGGGTAGCTGCAGCTGCACTGCGGGAAGGAGCTCAGTGCCTGGGTCTGTCCCCAAAACTGCAGCCGGAGGACACGCAGGGCAGGGTGGTAGAGCACGCTGCTGCGGAGAGTGACCTCTGGATGGCAGCTCCCAGCAGCAGGCAGTGGAAATGAGAGAGGTCACTGGAGAAAGAGAGAGACAAATCTCCCCCCACGGTCTCAAAACTTTTAACAGAGGACACATGAAATGACTGTAAATCACTCGTTTCCTACTGCCTGCTCCAGCCCCGTTGTTCCGCATGCCTGTCTGTCCAAAAGGAGATTGTCAAAGAGCTCCTCTGCTTAATAGGTCTTTCTGCATTTTCTGATTCATTAGTTTTCCTAATAGAAATGCTCCCTGCCTGTTCTCAGCAGGGCAATAAAGCCAGGAAAGAGAGCTGTTTCTGAGCACCCTCCCCGGCACGCCGTCACTCGACGTGCCTGCCTGCGCTGCGAGTGACCCAGGAGCCGTCTCAGGGGCCGGGGGAGATAAAAGCAAACCAACTTGAGTATCTGGCCAGATGCGACTTGGACGTGTCAGTCAGGACTCGGGCTGAGCCATTCCCTCTTGAAGTGTTGGAGTTAATGTCCTGGTTTTATTTTCATCCTCCGAGGCAATTGCTCGGTCCTGGATGCTTAAACCGTGTGGCTGAATTGCCCCACACTGAAGGCATCGCTGTGTGTGAATGTGTGCGTTAAACGTCTGTGGAAATGTTTAAATATGTGGGAGTTTAAGTCCACTTGTGGACACTGGCATTTGGTAAGTTGGAAGGACACACTGCAAAGACGTCCCGGTGGAAACGAGCTGTTCGTTCCTTGTTCGTGTCTTACGAAGGGAGGGGTTCGCTATCCCCACGTTCAGTCTCACCTTGATGATATTGATACATCCCTGGTTTTGACACGCCATGCTGGCTGAGAAGATGCAGAAAGGTCGAAATCTATACCAGGAAAGGGGTTACTGAGAAATTAAACGGCACACTTCCACTGCAGACGACTGCTCTGCATGGATACACGTGCACTGGGGTGACCATCTCTGCCCTTGCGATGCTACAAGGGGTTTTACACGCCATGCTGGCGGAGAAGATGCAGAAAGTTCGAAATCTATACCAGGAAAGGGGTTACTGAGAAATTAAACGGCACACTTCACTGCAGACGACTGCTCTGCACGGGTACACGGGTGACCATCTCTGCCCTTGCGATGCTACAAGGGGTTTTGCCCCTCGGTGAGCTGTGTTTTCCAATCATAGAGGGGAGTTTAAAGATGCTGATATTCCCTGTCATTCCTTTCCTTTTTTTTTTTAAATAAGAAAATAGATCGTATTAGTTTCTCAGGGAAGGCTGCTCTTCTGTTTCTCTCTTGGCTGCTCTGATCTCCAACACAGGTACTGGAATTCCCTGAGGAATCTCGTGGTCTCCTTGCTGAACTCCATGAAGTCCATCATCAGTTTGCTCTTCCTGCTGTTCCTGTTCATTGTGGTGTTTGCTTTGCTGGGGATGCAGCTCTTTGGAGGACAGTAAGTCTAATTAATCATTGTCCTTTCGGGGTAATCTGAAAGCAATATCCAAGGAGGAGAGGGAACACAGGGCTCAAAATATTCACATCGTAGGTGCAAATGTCAGTCTTTCTGGGCTTCTGACTTGTAATCTCTGGTTTGTAGGAGAATAGTTCTTATTCTGGTGTTTTTTCTGGAGCTGAATTCTTTCCACTTACTATAATTCACAGCTCCTATGTCATTCCATAGTCCCCATGTACACTCAGACCTCTGAAAGAGGACTGAGGGAGGCAGCACTTCTACTGTGAGGGGAAAGGCAAATTCTTTCCCTGACGGCTGGAGCAACAAGATTTTTTTTTTTTTTCACTTGGAATATTTTTCTGCTGGAAAACATAGTTTTGTTGAATCTGATTTTTTTCACTAAGAAATGCCAGCTGTGATGAAAAGAACAATCACAATATCACCATTCAAACTCCAGTATAATTTTTGAAATGAAATAACATTTTTTTTAAATCAACCACTATTTTATCTTAAAACAATTAGAATTAAATGACCTACTAAGAGGGCAATTTCAATTTTGACTTTTACACTTGAGAACCACAACTTGTTGGAATGGTTTGTTCCACAAAAAGCATTTGAGATTTTGATTGTTCATTTTAATTGTGGATGAAAGTGAATTTCAACGTATCAGAATTTTCTCCATGAATAAAATTGTGTTTCTGCTAGTGGTTCTGTTAAGCATCTTCTCAGAGATGCCATGTTCCCCCCTGTGGTTGCCTGGGTGTTATTGCCAGGTGGAACAGATGTTGCTCTCTGACTTGGGTTACAGGGTATTACAAGACTGCAGGAGAGTTGCTTGTCCCTTACTGCTCTTGTTTTCATTTCTTACTTCTCTCTAGATTCAATTTTCAAGATGAAACACCAACCACGAATTTCGATACCTTCCCTGCCGCCATCCTCACAGTATTCCAGGTAAAGCCATCCCTTGTCCTGAGTGAGCATTAGAGAATAAATTCCTGGGTGTCTCTTCCTGCTTATGAAGAGCAAAGAGGTCCCCAAAAATCCATGGAATTTAGGAAAGGGGAAGTCCTCAAAATACATGAGTCCTTCACATCTATTTTGCCACATTGACCAATCAACACATCGTTAAAAATCACCGCTATGGAATTAAGGAAAACTAGATCAAAAGATTTTTTGCTAGGAAAAAAATATCGATAAAATAGACATTTCTGGGCTGAGCTTAAAAGCTGTGCGTGCCCAGGCTCTCTTCTTCTGAGGCCCCTGCCTGGGGCTGCACGCTGCAACGGCAGCACTTGCATGTGCCCCACTGCGTGAATCGTCCCGTCAGAAATCCTAGACAGCGAGCGTCTGGTTGACCTGTTTCACTTTCTCCTGTGGTTGCCGTAATTTAATGAGGAGAGAGGCCTGAGCTAGCTCCAGGCAGTGAGGAAATAATGTAGCATTTTGCATGGTAATAGCTCGCGATAAGATAATGCTGGATAAGAATTACAATCAGTGGGGGAGCACAGAAAGAGGCATCAGCCTTGGGCAAGTTCGTGTGATGGCAGGTAGAAGTCGCAGTTCTGGCAGATGCAATGCTCAGATTTAAAAGCCTAATTTTGCAGCTGTTCTTTGCATGCCTTTTTAAAACAGTTTTTTCGGGTGTTTTGGTAGAGAGCTGGAGATGCTGCACCCTGCTCCATGTGCAGGTAACACTCACAGGTCTGTGGAAGACCACCCTGCATTTATAGCGTTCTTCTACACAAATTGTTGATGTGGGCTCGAGCTGAGACTTGACCCCAGATCCAGCTAGATCTCAGCAAGGCTTGGATTATGTATTTCAGTGTCCTGTCCCAAAAAGGATAAAAAAATATTGAGTTGATGGCAATTCTTGGATTAAAACAGAAAAAGAGTCTAAAAGAAAATGTGTCCTCTGCATAAGCAGCTTCATATGGGTATTGCCTTCTCTCCAGATGTGGAGCAGGTTCAGTAGTACTTACCTTGCAGGATATTGCAAATCATGGTAGATCAATATTTGCATAGTATTTTAGTACTCATCAAAGAAAGGGCTTACGGAAACATAAGGGTATTGCCACAGAGTCGGAACTGAACCCGAGTCAGGCTCCGGATATGAGCATCTGGAAATTTTGATATTACTTTGCTTTGGGTCTATAGCTATCTCTTGAGAATACTTAGCTGAAATATTTCCTTTCTATTCCTGAGATAAATGCTGTAATATAGTGGCTGTGGGATGAAGGAAAGCACTGTTGGTTTTATAAGATTTGTGTAGAACGTCAGAGCTACGAATTAATACCAGCAAAAACCATCAGCACTGAATTAACTCAGTGCAGCCTTGCAGAGGCATTTCGATAACCTCTGCTCCCAGTCCGTCCCTCCTCCTCCCCTGAATTTCAAATATTATGTCAATGTTACTTTGGATCCTTTCCTAACCTCGTCTCCCATAAACTCAGGCAAGCCAGCAGGCTCGTTTGGTTGCTGCTCTAATAAGCAGAGTAGCATCATTCAGTGAATGCATTTGACGTGTTGAACAAATATAATAAAGCCAGATATACCCTGTTCATCCCTAACCCCTTTGGAGATTCTTTGTTTAAGAAGCAATCTTAAACAAAGTCTTCTGCAGCCTGCCTTAGCCCATTTTATTTCAGCAGACCTGGCTGGGTCACGGTCCTCTCATGCAACTCCCAGGACATATTTTGTCCGCCTGGCAGCTGGCTGAACCAAGCATTGGGTGCAAGTGAGCCCTGCTGTCCCGAAATTCCTGTCACGCCTTTTTCTCCAGCTCCTGGCTCCCAAGAAAGTCTTTGTGAGCTGAATGCCAAGCTGCGTATGTACAATATACAAGCAAAACTAGATATATATTCATATATATCTGCATACATGTGAAAAATAGGATAGCTGCATCTCCCTATTCCAGCAATCACCGAGCTGGAATCATTTACAACATCCAGAAGTGCAGAGACTCTATAAAGCAGAAAGACCTCTGTTAACCATACATGCTCTGCTTCCTGAGAGCTGCTACGTAAATAATTACACGCTGCCGGCTGCTAAGAAGCAGAGCACTGGTGACCGCGGGAGGAGGAGATGAGTAGTCGCGGTGGCAGGATGGGACTGAGCCTGAGCTCTGCTGATGGGTGCCTGCCGAGGGTCGGGAGGCAGAGCTGGCGGGGGTTGGATGCCCGCGTGCCCTGGCTGCCCTCGCTGACCTGCCTGCGAGATACGACACTGAGCTGACGTCATTTTGCATTTACTCAGGCCCTTCTTCAGGAAAGCATCTCACGTTCAGGACGGCCCTTTGAAATGGTGTGGTACCGATCCTCAGCGTCTGAGCGTGTCCCGCCGTTAATGGGCTCATTAGTCCATTAAGATTTCACAACAGCTCTTGAAAGCTGTTTTTATTCCATCACCTGATGGCTCCTCAGCCAAGCCCGAGTATTAAATGCTGAGCTGCACTGGACAAAATGTTCATTTGGGGCAGCCGAAAGCAGTTTTGGGCCTGGGGAAAACCAAAATGTTTGGGCTTCACCTTACTCCAAAATCCTCATTGCTTGCACCCCTCCCTCGGCAATGCTGTCCTTTTCTCTCCTGTAGGAAGAAGTGCTTAAAGCATCCATAAGCAGAGACTTTATAGAGCAGAAAGACTTTTTTTTTTTTTTTAACTGCATGTGCTCTGTTCCTTGAGGGCTGCTACCTAACTGCTTAAGTAATTCCTCCAGCTGATGCGTGACAGCGCAAACAGTGGGACGGACACCGGGTCAAAGTGTCTGTCCTCTTGCCATGGCCTCAGAGAGCATCCTCAGCTCTGCACAGGCAGGCTGGTGAGTTTAGACCATTTATCTCTCTGTGAAAGTTCTGTAAACCACATTTTTTTTTTTCCTTTAAGTTTTTCTTCCACTTCCAAAGTAATCCAGTTGGATTTTCGAACCCAGACCCCAACCTGCTGGACTTGTTTATGTGCAGCCTGTAATTTGTGATACCTGTGACTCCTGGTCTTCTGCAGGGCATAGACGTGTTCCCACCAGTTTCCCCTTCCATGAATGTTTGAGTGAACAGAAATCACTTTATGGTTATTCCCAGAAAGCAGGAACAGTTGTGAATTCATGGAAATGATGTGAATGCAAGTTTGTGAACAGTGTTTCGCATACTTGAGTGCCAGAGTTGAAAGCCCAGTGCCCTGGTTCATGTTCTCTGGTGTAAATCCAGAGTAACTCCAACAGTGTGGGTTAGGCTTGGGCTTTGAATCCTGGTCTCTGAATTATTTGAGACCAGATTCTTCATTTAGGAAACAAGTTTGTGTGTGTACTCTATGTCCTTGTGTCTATACTTGCTCTTAGCCTATTGCTGTCATCAGCACCAACCCTGCAGCAAGAAATTTTCTCTCTATCAGCAGCTGACTAGTCTGGAATTTGCAATCGTTTCGAGCATACTGTATGATTACTACAACATACATCATGCTTTGGGCTTTTTGTGTTGGTTTTTTTTTTTTTTTTCTTCTACTAAACACAAAGATAACTTCCTATTTAGGAATTTGAGCTCCACATCCCAGTGGGCATGTTTTAATGTACTAAAAGTAACTATTGTTTGACTCTGCCACGGCAGGCAGATGAAGTGCTGATCTGCCCAAAATGTTGCTGTGTTACCGTCCCTGGTGAAGAACAGGAATGGCAGGCAATTCGGACTGGAGCAAAATTCGCATCTAGCATGACAAGGCTTATTTGAGTCTTAGGTGTTTCCACTTGTTATGATTAGTTTTTCTATTATTCATGTGTTTGCTAATTAGCCTCAGGGTCAGTATCCAGAGCCTGCAGCCAGGACAGCTCTGCGGAGCTAGGCTGCGGTTGTGCTTGCCGCTGTACAAGGACATCTGTCCTCCCTCATACGCATTTAGTTATTGCTTCTACTTAGGGGTTTTTTTTGTGGTTTGTGGCCATTTGGGTGGCTCAGGGTCCTTGTAGCCTCGGCAAGCAGGAAATCTGGAGAAGAACCCATTGCGGTGCAGCCCCCGGCAAACCTTGCAGTGGTTGCACTGCCCAGCGCCTGGCATTTGGAGTAACATCCACACGTGCACCAGCTGCAGCAAAGCTGTCTGCAGCCCTGGGGGACAGAGGAGTAGTGGAAGGGGGTTGCAAGCGTTTCTCCTGCTGTTACACAGTGTGTATAGTGTGCGTGGGTTAGGGGGGGAGCTGAGCAAACCCTTTCTTGTATGAAGTGAATGAAGAGAGTTGAAGCTGGCAGAGGTCCCACGCAGGGCACTGGGCTTAGAAGTCAGAGTTTTCTTAGGTCTGTGGGAAATGCCGTGCATGGAGCTGTTGAAACCTGGTATCTCTGCATGACTTAAAAACGGAGAGGGGGGGAGCAATTTTGCTGAGGGTGAAGTGTTGGAATATGGCTTTCACTGTTTCTGCATGGGAGCCTGCAGTCAGAGGTGGGCAGCGGGCACGTAACCAGGAGAGGGCAGGAATGGGCAACGGTCCTCCCTCACCAGCGGTCCTCACTCCTCAGCCCATGCCAGAGGAGAAAGCTGCATCCAGCCCAGGATGAGACCGTCCAGGGCTGGGGGGTTGATGTCCAACACTACAGTCTGCCACACTAACGTGCTCGTCCATTTTCCCCCAGAGACCAGTCCTGGCTTGCATCAAGCTGCCCAGCTCCCCCAGACCTTACCTGCTTTGTCTTTCCTTTGAGTCACCCTTTCTTCTTCTCTCGACTTTCGCTGTGCAGATTCTGACGGGGGAAGACTGGAATGCGGTGATGTACCACGGGATAGAGTCGCAGGGTGGTGTCCGCTCGGGGATGTTCTCCTCCATTTACTTCATCGTCCTGACCTTGTTTGGTAACTGTATCCTTACACATTGCCTTGTGTTGGTGGCACAGTGTGCCACGCACCCTTCCTTGGGTGCTAGAAATATCTAGTTTTGTTTAAATTCTCACACCCTCACTTACGCTTTTTAAAACTAAATCATTGCTATAACATTGTTCCTTACAGCACCCAGGGTGAGAGGCGTAGGCAATTTGTCCATGTTGTTGTCCCTTTTCTGATGGCAATGTGGGCGCTGTCTTCGTTACTTTTAATTTTCATATTTTACTGTAAGAATGTCCTATTATGAGTTAATTTATGTGGTGGGAAAAATGATTGAAGTCAAATCAGAGCAGGACCTCTGTACCTTGAGTATTTTCACAGATAGTTTTCGCTAAGTTGGGGGAAGAAATAGTTGAAATTGGTTTAGTGCATTGATCAGGCTCCAGTTTCTTGGTGCCTGTGTCTACATGACAGCTTAACCAGCTATGCTGTTCCAAATGCTTGGAATTGTCTTGTATCCACATAATGCTTAAAACTTAAGTCCAGATCTTGGATTTTGGGCTCTGGGAGTATTCGATCATGTTCCAAGACCTGATGCATGAAGTCTCTGAAGATGTTTTGTTCTGCTTAATCATCTTGAGGGCAACAGGAAACTGGAAGCTTGTGTCCCCCCAGAATGTCCCGGGGTGTCTGCTGGGACAGATGTGTGTTATGTCCCCAGAGAGGTCTGAGGAGGCAAGAACGTAGCAGTCACATGGAGCTGGGGTTTGGAAAGGGAGGCTGTATTTTATATAGAAATGAGCAAAGAGATTCTCTGATCTAACGGCTGGGTGCGATTAGGAGAGCCAGCAGAGCGTAGTAGCTGCGGTGGCTCTGTCCCTGCTTCACGGTGGAGGCTGCTGAGAGGCTGATGTTGCGTAGCATTGCTCACATTCACTAGGTACAAAATTGTTGGTGCGAGATGTTTGCTGGCTGCAGTGACAAGCTGTGTGGAACCAAAGCATCCTTAAAAAAGGAGGCTTAAAAACTATTGTATATGTGAGGCAGCCCAGCTGGTTTGTTTATTCTGTAAAATAGGGATAATAATGCTGAACATTGCCGCTCTGCTTGAGAGCTCTCTGGAGGGTTCCCCAGCAGCGCGAACCTTCTTGCTAGTTACAGTCCCAGCATTCATCTTTTCCTAAGGGTCCTGTTTGGGCTGGCAGCGTCGGCTGGGTACCTGGGAGACAGGGAAGGGTAGGTGGGGGGCAGTGCTTGTGCTAAAGATGTGGAGTTGTATAGATGTAGAGCCCCTTCAGCTGGGGGTCAAGATGACAGGAGATGGGACGTCAGCGCCCATGGGCTCCGGCCCTTTGCTTTGCCTGAAATCTCCCCATTAGCATGAGGAACCGAGACAGGGAACAGTGGAGCACGCAGCGTGCGAGCTGTGCTTGTCACACAAGCGTGTCTCTGTGGGATTTATCCCATTAACGTGCGCTGTCAGAGCCAGAGCAGCCGTGACGCCGGGGCTGGCTCAGCAGCTATGCTCGGAGATCCGCCTCGTGGCGGGCAACATGCCCCCTTCCAGAAACACGAGGCTTTGGAAAACTGGGTCAATGGAGAGCTGGGAGGGAGGGAGATCTCTAAATCCTCAGGGCTTGGTATTTGAAAATGAGATTAAGCTATAATCAGGCTTGACAGCAGGGCTGAGAGAGAAACTTTTAACCTTAGAGCAGCTAAGATCCGGCATTTTTGAGGAATGGGATATAAATTCCCTTCTTGCACCTTTAATTCAAAGAGGGGGGCTTCTCCCTTGTCCTTTAGTTATAGGGGATGCTCAAGAGGAGGTAATAAGGACCTGGTTGACCTACTGCCATTGCTATGAATTTGGTACTTGCTTCTGCTTGCCCTGGCAGAGTGGTGGGTCGGAACCTTACCCACGTTCTCCCCAAATATCATCCTGGCAGAGAGCAGCTGTCTTGCTTTCCCTTCTGCTGTCCTGCTGCCGAGGAGAGCCAGGCGGTGGCTTTCCTGGCTGCTTCCCCGGGACCATCTCTCGCATCCCCTTGCCCGCAGTTGCATGCTGGTGGCACAGCTTTAGCGCAGCCAGAGTGCTCCTTGGGGCACTATCTGTGCATTTAGCAAGGAGGATATGGCAGGTGTGATTCTTTAATTCTCCATGAGTCCTGCAGATGGGGATGAGTTTGCTGCAGGTGAGTTTCTGTAAGCACAAAGTACAGAGAGAGGGGAGAGCTGGCTGACAAATAGTAACAACACTCAGAAACCCTTTTACAATGTCCTGGAAGACTTCTTTCACCAGCTTCTAGTGATCTGAGTTACAAACCTGAAGCAAATGTATTCATTTCTATAGAGATATATACCCCTGTTGGAGAATGAGAGACCTGGCCCAGATTGTCTCTGTAGAAACTTTGCCTGAGAGCATCAGCTGCTTTCACGGAGAGCTTGTAAGAGCCCTTCTGCATTGCACGTGGACCTTTTGCTTTAAGCACCATGGGCAGAAGGGGAGAACTGAGGCTGGAGTGTGTGGTGGAGGATGAGGGGTTAAATCTTTTCCGTGGGAATTGCAGCAGTAAGCCCACTAATGCTTGCGCTGATATTTCAAACAGTATTTCAGTAAGGTCAGTGCTACCCCTGCTTTTCACTAGCTACAGTTTTGATGCTGAGAGCAAGCAGCAGGCAGTCATTTATCTCTGAGGGAAAGCTGAACTGTATGACTTACCAGGGACTTAAGTTATCATTAACCGTCAAAACATAACCAGGAACGTCTGAAAATAAAGTTTAGTTTGCCAGAAAAGAACAGTCCTGCATTTTGGGGGGAAGTAAAATAGTCATTAACGTCAGTGATGTGCCCCAGCGATGTTAAGGGTGGGCAAGTGTATGGGGGGGAGGTACGAGTCTGGGCCTCGGGTTCACCTTCCCATGGAGAGCCCCGCAGCCCAGCAAATGCCAAGAGGACACCCTATGGAGAGCAGTCCAAGCTGTTGATTAGCTTAATTATGGATTAATGTGAATTGTCTTTTCTGCTCTAACTTGGGACTTCACAAAGATCTGCCCTCTCTGCCTTACAGAACTCCCTCCAAAAAGCTTTAAAATGTACCTTTTTTATGCAATGGATTTTTTTCATTTGCCAAGTGTGGATTTGCCACCAGCCCTCCCCACACTGATGTTCACTGCGGCTGAATTTCTTAAGTGGGATTTTTTGTTTTTTTTTCTTATATCACTTCTGTTGAAACCAGTCTAAGCCCCTCTGGATGCTGATCAGGTTCCTCTGCTGGGAGGGGTTTTGTTTTCAGTTTTTGAACATTGGCATTTGGTGAGTCCATTTTTAAAAGTTTAGGCAGATTGGATCAAATCTTGCTAGAGAATTGGCATTGGCGATTTCGGATCAGCTTGCAAAGCAGTTCTTTTTAAACATGAGGGATTCCTTCCTTCTCCCAGAGCTGCTCGGGGCTTTGAGATTGTTCTTTTTCATGAAGAAGAAAGGCGGGCGGGTGCCGGCTTCCCCTGCTTTTCACTGCAGCTCAGTTGTTTCTTCGAATCCATTTACTTTTCCAAGGGACTACCGCAAGGAAAAGATCCAGAAACTTTCTTTTTGTAAGTTGGAAGTCTCTCACGTTACGTTCCCAGTTCCAGAGAGTCTGTGCGGAGCCAGACTTCTGCATCTGAAATGGTTTAATGAAAGTAGTATGATTAGAGTAACAGCAGGATTTGGCCCATTTTCTAGGAAATTACACCATGCCTGTATTCATTGTTATCCGGTTAATTGGTAAATTGATGCATCTGTTGAGGGAATAAAAAAGAAAAAATACCCTGAAAAACGCAGAGGAGCCTGAAATGGAAAGCAGCAGATGCCTGGAACATGCTGCCCTTCCCCTGGCCCTTAAATGCCGTCCAGGAGAGCATGGCCAGCCAGGTCTGTGGGTCTGCCCAGGTTATACAGCCTGGAGCAGAGACTGATGTTTGGGTGGTATTTGGGAATCCCCGAGCTCTGCAGAAAGGGCTGAGGGACCTTTTTTGGGACAGAAACACCCAAGTCTGCCAAATCATGTCTGCTTGGTGATGGATCAAAACAGCCTGATCTTTTAAAAAAAAAAAAAAAAATTAATTATATTTCCAGTGGTTGATTATGTTACACAAGACATTTTTCAGCATGTGTGTGTAGGAGGCAGGGGTAGGAAGACTGTTTTATTACCGAGACATTTATTCCCATAGCAGGAGGCTTGGAAGCATTTCCAACGTGTTGCAAGCACCCCAGAGGAAGAAACCCAAACAGCTGGCACCGGCCAGCACCCCAGGGGTGCTGCGGGCAGCCTGCACCCCCAGCCCCCCTGCCTGCACCCCCAGCCCCCCTGCCTGCACCCCCAGCCCACAAGTGACAGCCGCCTCTTGCCCACCCTCGGTTAAAAGGAAATGGGGAAATTAGTATCTTTGCAGATGAAAAGTTGACTGAGCTCTGACTTCAGCGTGGGAGGGAGGTGATCGTTTCAGCATCATCTTTTCCTTTTTCTGGTTCTTTATCTGCTGGGCTCAGTGGGATCGAGGTGCTCCCGCCCTGCGCTCCTCACTGTCCTGCTGGAACAGAGGAAGGAGCAAGTGATGGGCATTTCAAACCTCTGTCTGTCCCAGAGGAATCATCTTCACATGATAAAAACATCCTCGACACGGAGAAACCACTTACATGACATGGAGAAAACCTGACGGATGACCTGGCCTTTGCCTGGAGAAACCCCAGGGCTCTGCATCCCATCCCCTGCAGGGTTTGGCAGTCAGGATGCAGATGCGTCCGAAGAGATTAAATAGAACTCCTGCTTTCCACTGTCACAAGCAGAGGCTCCAGTTTTGATAGGCATTCCGGCTCTGGAGACACTCGTCTCAATGGGAATTAGAGATGTGAGCGTCTGGTTCTGAAGTCTTGGCTGAATTATGTTTGCTGAAAGCTCTTGAGAGGGAAAGCAAAGAGGCTTTGAGCTGGTTGTTTGGGCCAACTTTGGTCCCTGGCTGCCCTGGGAAGTCTCCTGGAGCTGTGCCAACATGCGTGCTGCCCGGAGACTGCTGGAGCACGAGGATTTCTGGGCACGCTCCTGTTCGGCAGAGGCGACTGCGGCCGATGAATCAGCCTTGCACCGCTCCTGGCTCCTCTGTTTATAGAGAAACCTCCAGGCATCCTTCTGAGAAATGGAAAGCAATCAGAGGCCAAGGTTTCCCAAAATCTCGTTGCAGGTTTGCCAGCACCCTGGGAGCTCACGCCGCTCCTCTCGCGATTGCCCGGCTGCCCCCAGCACGCCGCCCTCCTCCCTCCGTCCCGCCTTCGCTGCGGCGTTGCTCTGAGCATTGCTTCCAACTCGCAGACCAAAACAGGGGACGCATCCAGTTATTTTCTGCTGGGTTAATTAGCTGCCTAAAGGTGCTGCAGTCATTTCACTCAGCTTTTGGGGACCTGCATCTGGTCCCAGACTCATATTTGGCTCGGGTGAGGACAGTGCAATACAAACACAGCAGAAGGGCGTTGCTGTTAAAGCCTTTGTGAATCTCCAGAGAGTAAATACTCATGAGAACAACTTCATTGTCGTGTACATTCATATTTAGAGGAGCAATCATAGCTTTACACAGCTATGGAGTGAGTGACTCTCCTGTCACCTGGTAATGTGTAAGAGCAACATGCATTTTCTTCTTGGAGAGTAGTTTAGATTTGGTTTTGCTTTGCTTGCTCTCCTTTCATATGCAAAGATATCTGATTTACAGTTGTTTTGGGGTTGTTCTGCAGACACATAGATGGATTAACGACAATAAAATATATGAAGGGACAAGTAATAGCTGAAATCGTTAAGTGGAAAAATGAAAATAAAATATGAATAAATAATTATAGGGAGATGTTGTATGTCTTAGTGATATAATGCAGTGCTCTGCAGAGAGACCCAGGCTCGCGTTGGCACTGGCGGTTGTTGAGCTGGGCTATGTGCAATTTGGCCTGGACTAACGGCCCATTTCCCGGCAGAGCTCATTAGCGCGGGCTGGGTGTCCTGCTGACAGGCTCTTCTGTAGCTGTGCTCTGCGTGATGCTGCAGCATTCAGGATAGAAGATGTCCGTGGCGGTCTAATTGTCGTATCAACTTCAGTGTGATAAGTCATGATAGTTTCCTCCCACCAATATGTAAGCAGCAGTGACCTAAGCTTAACTTTTTCATGCCTTTACATAGCTATATGTTTATATTATGCAAATGTTGGCTTTAAAATTATTTCCAGGAGCTCTACCAGTTGTCCTTTTAAACAGGAGGGAAAAATGAAGATTAAATCCGCTCTCTGTGTGTGTGTATGGGCAGGAGTGAAGGTGTGGATTTTCTGGAATGAAAAAACGGGCTGTTGTGTCTCTAGGACCATCATGCGGGCCCGTACGGGTTGCACCTACAGTGCTGTAAAGCCCCTCTGCTCAGCATGTGAGGGGATGTGTGCTGGGGAAGAGACAAGTGGGTGTCCAGCACCCCTGTGATGCAGAGCTGGCTCCCAGCAGGAGTGGGTGACTTAGAAATGAAGACAAAGCAGTGGTGCAAGGGGTCAATCCGTAATATACTGGTGACTGTAAGTGGGGAAAGAAAGGTAGTGGCAGCAGAAGGGGAACAATTCACTGTATCTGCTCTCTGAAGATTTTTTCCTTAGCTGCTCCCCAAAAGATACGCTCCTGAACGTCTTCTTGGCTATCGCTGTTGACAATCTGGCAAATGCCCAAGAGCTGACCAAGGTATGTACGAGATTTCTGTTTCTTCAAACTTAGACCACAGCTGCCAGATCTAGAGCACACGTTACCGACCCTTCCAGACACCCTGAGGTTTCCTCTAGAACCTGTTCCTGCGGTATCTCTGTTTACCAGTTTACACTGCAGAGAGGGACCTGGGGGTTTATTCTTGTTCAGGCTTGTTTCAGTGAACTATTTCATGTTCATTTTATCACAGAGTGGGCAGTGGGCATTGCTCATCTCGCTGCTGCATGGAGGTGCACAGGCATTCGTAGCATTTGCTGTTTTCAAGAGCAGAGGCGAAGCAATTAACAGGTTTTGGCTGACTTGAAGCTTAGGCGTGGGGAAACGCAGGTGTGGTATTGCTGCTTTTGCTGTCTCACGCTAATGTTTCATACCTTGCTGAGTTTTGGGATGAATCAAAGAATTCGCATTCTCCAACCAATTCCCTGGGAAACAACCTGCAGAGGCGATTGTGAATACTCGGTGAAGATGTTATGATCTTCCTGCCTTTCACCAGGTGCAAGAGAAATCTGAGGCACCAGCCCAAGCGCAGGCAGAAAGCCAGGTCCTGCAAGAGGTGGAAATGACACCGCTGTGACTCTGCTGTATGTGCAGATTTTTATTGGAGCGTTCCCTGTGGAGAAAAACTTACAGCCTCAGTATTGCGCAGGAAGGATTGCAAGTGCTGCAGTTTGTATTCGTATTAGTGCATACTTTTGATTTCTCATTGTAGCATACGCAATTGTATTTATGAGGCAGCATTAGATTTTGTTTGCACATTTCTAGCTTGTTCTCACTGAGTGGATAAAAACACGCACACCCTATTGCTGTGCTGCTGCCATCGCCATAAGTCACGGCGACCTGCTAGTGGCAAAAGAAGCACTGTATCTACCTTAGCAGTTGTATTTTACAAGCTTTAGCTTATATACACCTCATAGGGTAAGAGGATCACTAACCACGGGCTTCTGCAGCCGCGGGCAAGGGTGTTTTCTCTTTTTAAAGTTGCAGAAAGGTGCGGTAGTTCATGGATACACGATGCAACTCCACAGTTCAGGGACACAGACTTTTCTAGGAGTTTCCTACCCGGCTCCAGCTGCTGAAGACGAAAGCAGCCAACCATTCCCAGTTAAAATCCACGTCTCCGATGCAGCTGAGCTTGTCTTTACCAGCTCTCCTTTTCTGCTATGGAGCTGCACAACTGGCTTCAACTTCCAGCTTTGACTGGAGCCTTGTTTCCTGACAGCCGATATCCAGCGCAGACCGTACGAGGTCTGGTGTTCTCAGGTGTATAACGAATGTTCCTATGTCTCTGAGACCATGTTCTGCATCCCTCCTCTCTTATAATGCAGCTCAGGGCTGTGTTTAATGGCTCTCAGTGGTTTTTTTTTTCTGGGAAGTTTTCTCCTTACAGCAGCTCAGCTGTTTCTGTTCTTTCTAAAGCCCACAGAAATCTCCAGCCCGGAGGCATGCCTCCTCCCAGCCTGTTCAGGAGATTTACGGGCATCCCTTGCATGTGCTAAGAAAGAGGATCAGTCCCAGAATTCTTGGATAATGAAGCTCATCCTACTTCTTTCTTAATCCTTTTAGTGCTTTCTTGTGAATATTTCAGCAGCTGACTGGGATGGTTAGAAACCTGACTTCGTTGATGTTTATAAAGTATAATTAAATATTGATGGATTCAGCAGCATTGCCAAATCATAAAGCTTCTTGAGAAACTCTTTTTTTTGCTTTAATTTTATTTATGATCCCAAAAAATCACTAGGGCTTTCAAAAGAAGAGGAAAAAGATAAAAGTAATTCAATTATATAGCATACCTGGAGAATGAGGGATTTATTGCTAAGTAAATATGATCATGCAAAACCAAAAATGGCCTGGAGGTATAATTAAGTTACTCAGGAGTCAGTTGATCTCAGGAGACTTTCTTGACATTTATGCTGTAAAACTAATTGAGATCAGTGCTGCATACGATGGGGGAAAACCATAAGCGGTTTGCAACTGCCTCTGTTTTGGAAAGACAGAAAGCTTTCCAGCTAACCTCCAGGACTGAAACATTTCAACCAACATTTCCACCTCTGGATGCTAATTTGGACTTCTTTTATCGTGGTATTTGAACATTTCTCGGTAGCCGGAGCTGGGCCTTGTGACCTGTAACAGAAGTTATCAGAATTGTGACTATATTTAACTTAAGCTTGATCATCCGACGTCTGTTACAAAACTCACCAGTACTTTGGAATGACTCATTTGGGGGAAAAAAAAAAGAATCACCTTCTTTGCTTTGAGTATATGAAGAATCTGTTCTCCAGCCTCCGCCTCTCGCTCCCCAGGTCTCTCTCCTCCTCTTCCTGTGTTGGCTCTCCCTTACCACTGACTTAAACTCTGCCAACTTCATTTCTAGAGACTTCTCGGAGCTGTCCTGAATCTCTTTGGTTGCCTACCCTCTAGTTTTTTCCATATATTGGCACGTTTTTCTTCCTGTTCAGAGTGGAATCTAAAATTGCCCCCAAAATTTGCTTTTAAAATCTCTCCGCTGACCATCCCACAATGTCTCTGGTGACACACTGCAGTTCGTTCTTCAACCTCCTTCGACTGGCATGTAAAGCCACCACAAGTGACCCCTTATTTTCCTAAATATCCTAAAGCACAAGGTGTGTTCTCTGATCTCTGTACACCGCCAGCAATCCCTGAGAAGGCAGTATAAAAACATGCAATGTGGGATAGGAGGAATGTGTGAATTTTGTATAAAAATATATGTAAATACATAAAAAAGTTGAGAAATCCCCAGAAATAACGGACTGAAGTGAGCGGCAAAAACAAGAGCCGAGCAGCCATGAAGATCCCTCCTCCTCCTTCCCAATGGAGAGGGCTTTAATTGGGTGAACTTAATAAAGAAGAGTCAGTGTTAACTATGCACATCATTATGGGGAGCAGCGAAGGTGGGTTTTACCATGTGATAAACTGTGTGGTGTAAATGAAGATTTAGAGCTCTAGAAAACAGAAAGGAAACGGAGAGAGATGTCCTTATAGGCAGGGCCTTGATCTGCGCTTGCCCCTGTATAACGACGGTGACAGTCGAGCTGCCAGAGCTGGGCTGTTGGTGGGAGGTGGGATGGGTGGATGTTGCCGTCGCAGCTCCGAGCGGGCTTCAGTCATGCACCGTCACACCCCTGCACGCTTCACACAGAAGGAGATGAGCCTGTGCCCTGGTGAGACCCTGCAGTGTACGTATCAGGCAAAAAATTAATTAATTTTTGTAGTGGTCTGCAGTCTCTGGGTGGAAGGAGCTAGAGAAATACTATTAAGCAGTCATCTGCTAAAGAGTGTGCTGCTTCTGAGTTAGGGACAGCTGCATTTATAGTGACAATGGATATTTTCTGCTGTTACTTTGAGATATCGAATCCGCCAGAATTACTGACGCACTGGGGAGAATGGAGTCGAAGCTACAAATTTTAAAGAGATGGTAAAAGCTGCACCTGGTGCTTTAGGTGCAGAGAAAGAAAAATCAAGAGCCTTTGAATGTATGTGATTCTAACACTGCTAGAGAGCATCCTCAGAGAAGAAACAACTTGAAGATACCTGTGGAATGAAAGGAAAACCTTAAAAGTCTCCTTATCGGGGGCCTTATTCCTCAAAAGATTCATATTCTGCAGATACCCTTGATTTACAATGAGCTTCCAAATCATTGATAAATTTACTGGACGTTGGCAGTTGAGAAATATTGTCTTTGTA